GATGTCTAAAAAATTGGACTAGAATCTTAGAATATTATTCTATCTTAGAATAATATCTTAGAATATCTTAGAATGATATCTATCTTAGAATAATATTCTAAGATTTAAATAAGCTTTAAACATTTTAGACAACGCTTGACCTTAAAATATTGACATTGGACAACAATTTTGACTAAAATAAAGTCCATTTTAAGGTATAAATATAAGGCGTAGAAATTTGAGAAATATTCACTCAATAGCAATTTACTCTCCGACAAGAAATAATTCTTCGACTAAGTCTTAAAAATGTTACGAGTCAGCGAACCAGTTGCCGAACTTTAGAAACTAACAAACGCACCTGGTCACACTGCATCGCTGTCCTACTCCGCTTGGGTCAACAGTAAACTACGCAGATTTCATTGTTTGCAGCTCGCCAAGAGCAGCAGCAGCAGCTGGGGGAGCAGGCACCGAGGCAGCAGCATGTAAATGTCCGTCTTGCTGCTGTGTGTGGCTGTGGCCAAGTGGCCAGCAACTGTCGGGCCTGGCTCTGTGCCTGCCCAGGAGGAGGCTTGTTGCTGTTGTCTTAAATTAATACCAAATTGTCAACGTTTGCAAAATGCTGCAAGCCGCACCAACGCCACATGATAAGACGCAGACCAACAGCAGCAGCAGCAATAGCAAGACCAGGTTCAGGCCGAAGCCAGAGCTGGGACTGGGGCTTGAGATTGGGCTGCATGCAGCGCTGAGGCTGGGGCTGAGGCTGAGGCTGCGCATGCGTTTTGGATCTATGTACGTCTATGAGTGGCTGCTGCGGTTGCTTTGTTTGTGGCTTTCGCTCGTTTTGGTCTCGCTTGGTCTAAGGTCTTCGATGGTCGTCAATTGATAGCCAGATTTGTGCAATTATCATTTTAATAATTGCCAACAATCTGCACGATATGAACCGACGACGACGACGTCGTCGTCTGCTGCCAGGACCAGGACCCCATTTAGTGCAACCCCCCCTCCCTACCACCCTCTTGGCCCAGGTCTATGTTCTTGCTGGTCGTGCTCATAACCAGTAGCCAGCGCCTTGTAGTTCTGCCTCTTTGCATTTGTTAGCCCCGGCCGCATCTACATAATAATAAATTTATTACAGATTTCCGTCTGATTTGTTGTTAAGAATTTGTGCATTGCCCAGCCGGAAAACAAAATAACAAAAAATAACAAACTGCTAGCACCCACTGTGAGACAAATAGAATACACTTAAATGGTTGCCCACTTAAAAGATGACGGCAGATTATGCGATAAATCAGTGGAGCAGATTGCAGTGCGTAGACCAGAAGCGGCGCCGCTCGGGAACGCAACTGCCTCCAGTAGTTGACTCCATGCCAACCCACACAGTCCTTAATTGGCCCAGATATTAAAAAGAGCAAATAACACAGCATTAGCTTGTGCATTTTATAGAAACACCTAAACTAACCTAACCTAATCTATGGCATGTTAACATACGTAAATTTGTTTAAAAATTATAAAAAAAATGTATATATATAAATTCCAAATGATTTTTGTATTAGGCCTTTCCTCGGCCTCTGATTTTTTTTTATAAATTTTAAAAGCTTTTCTCAAGGATCGTTAAGACATGCATCTATACCCTGTTTAATTTTAAATCTGATACTTATATCCGAAAGTGCGAGACCACTTTGGGTAACGACACGTAGCTAGTCAATGTTATTGTCTAAGGTATTTAATTATTATTTTCATGATAAGTATAGGATAGAAATATCGATATATTAATCTATATTTTTGACTTGAATACCGCTGGTGACTATGCCGTTCGTATAAGATGATAATGCAACCATAAATTGGCATGGAATTCGATCCTACATCCTCGACTGTGCCTAAGTAAACACATTACGTAATATCAATAATATTTGAAAGAAGCTTAACAGGTGAGCTTTAACAAAATCAAAGAAAATATCAAACCATAAATCGTTTTTGTTTTTTATCCGTTTCAGTTTTGACAGTCAAATGGAGCATTATTCTATGCAAGCGCGTTGAGCACAAATCAAATTCAATGCATGCGGTCTAACGGTTCGTCTAAAGTTGGTCGGCAGCAGATACTCACCTCCACCACGCATGCAGCCAGCTCGCAGGTAAGTAAGAAAGAAACACGATACACACACACACACAGGCAAACTCGTTTGCCTGGCCAGGCCGAGGGGCGAGCGCTCGGTCAACGCCCATTGCCGAGCTGGGCCAATCAGCGACGAGCTCGCGCTGCGCCACGAGCCAAACGGCCGCATGTAACGGCATGCGGCGGGGCAGCAAATACAGAAGCGAGTGTGGGATTTGTTTTTGTTTGACAAAGAGCCAAAGAGAGGCGCACGCAGTGCAAACAAAAGCTGAGGGTGTAACCTGGAAAATGTGTCGCACTCATAAATAAACGAGTGGCCGATAAAGATGGGGGACACAAAAAAGAAATGTAAAGGGAAAAATGAAAAATGGAAATTGTTTACGATTTGCTCAGTTGCTGTTACCTGTGCCGCTCGCGACTGCGCATATCGCCACACATTGATGGATGGGCACGCGTCTGGCATAAGGTGAATCCGTTACAAGAGCCCCGCTCGCGAACGGCGTCAGTCGGTTGCGGCTGCCGCTAACCCTCGAGCGAACCCTCGCGCTCTCAAGCGCAACGAGGGCGATCCGGCAGCCAACCAGCTACCATCAGCCCTCATCGCAGCTATAATGAATGACTATCGGGGCTGATATAGTGCTGAATATGGCCATATAGCTATATAGACCCCATTTTATGCATGTCTATGGCATGCTTGGCTAGCGCAGTTGCGGCTTGTGGCACGCTTGTGTCTTGGAATGTCTTCGGGGGTGTCTCCGCACTTCTGACTCCCAAGCTAGCTGACTAACTGACTGACGGGCTGACGAGCTGGTTGATGTAATGGCGTGCACATGTCCTTTAAATGCATGCATAGGCGTTCGAGGAAATTGCGCCAAAGAAGAAGGAACTCATCGGAACAGGATCGTTAAATGGATGGCAGTTGTCCGAAGTGTGCCCGCGTTTTCTTGTCAGGCGTAACCTAGGCAGGTGTGGGCCACAGCAACATAAACTGGAAATTACTAAGCAGCGGAGGCGACCAAGCGAGCAGCAATGATCAGGATATGGAGAAGACAGGGTCGCTAAGGAAAAACGTTGATAACCTACTAAAATGAGAAGGTGCTTCTAAAGGCAAGGAATGCAATCAAACAGCAGGTGTTAGGCCATGATTTTTAATTGCCATAGATTCCAAGATAAACGCCAAAAGTCTTTAAACTCAAGTCTTGAAACTAAGCTGCCTTCTAATAGTTTAAACTAAAGCGGCAAGAGGGATTACAGCCATGGCTGAGAAAGCCTTCGGCTGGTTTTATTGTGGCATTTAATTTGATTATTAGGTCTTTCAAACGGCAATATATTTATGTGGTCTATATAAATACACAAATAAAAGTATATAATCAAAAACATAAAAAATATATATACAAATAAAAGTACGTAAAATGATTTAATAATAATATAAACAATATACTGACATATTGAATATATTATCTTTGGCAAATGGTAATATTTAAAATACATTCAAAATGTAGCATAAAATCTAACATAAAGTAATAGAGTTTATTTGAAAGAATTGAATTTTTCAATTATGAGTTATTCAATGAATTATATATTCACTTCAGTTTTTGATTCATGCCCATTTTTAAAAAATCAAAATTATTTGTAAATAGTTAATTTTTGCTGTTAATTTTATTTAAACCGCAAAGATTTATTAATGCAAAAGTTAGTCTAAATATTTAGCAAAATGTCTGTGCTAACCAAGGCTTTAATTCAGTACACTAAACAGCAGCAATTTCAAATTATAATCTGCTTATATAAATGTTAAGCCGATTATCTGACCATATACATATGTGTCCAAACTCCCTTCATACTCTCTGCACAGTTAGATCACAGTTTGCATTATGCTCAACCCCTCATGTCCAACAAAATATCCTTCAAATATGCACGCTGCTCTCGCGCACATGCGAGCAACTTAGCTGAGTCACAATCCCAATAGCTGAGCTGGCCAACAGTTGGTGGCAGCAGCAACAGCAGCAGCAACAGCAGCAGCAGCAGCAATAACAACTGTAACAGTTACAATACGAAAAGTACAGCGGGACGCAGGCAGCAGAGCAACAATACAACAAACGCCCGCCAAACTTTAACTGCATACCAATTAGTTGAGAAACGCGTGCTGCCAACAACAACAACAACAGCAGCAACAACAACAACAGCAGCAACAACAGCAACAACAGCAACAACAGCAACAACAGCAACAACATGAGCTGCGCACGATCAAAGCAACTGATAGAGAGGAGAACAGGAGGCGCGGACTCTGGCGCTGCGTAACTGTGTGTCTTGACCCTTACAACATGCAGGACAACAACAGCAACAACGGCTGCCAACTGCTGCCAAAGGTGAAAAACCAGAGTTGGCAACACACGCACACACACACACACACATGCACAAAAGGGCTCAAGAGCCACCACTAAAGTCAACATTCGGGCACCAATACGCGCGCAACGAGGGTTCGTTTTGATTCGGCTCACACACACACGCACACACACACCCATAGACAGAGCCTCGATTTTCGGGCCAAGTCGCCGTCGTCGTGGTCGTCGCTGTTGCCTGGGCCCGGCACTCGCTTCACCGTTGGCTCAATTTAGAACCGCACAATCGGCCAAAGATTCAGTCAGGTGCGAAGCACCGAGCGATACAGACGTCTACGTCTCACAGCCGAGCCAAGTTTCATACTCAAAGATCTGTTACCAAAAAAATAAATAAAAGAAGTCAGCTAAAGCGATCGTTTACCGCGAGATTTGACGCCGTGTCGCCGCTCAAATTTATCCAAAAATTAAGTATAAATATAAACAAATATTGTTGGCCCAAGTGAATAAAGTGCATTTTTGTTGGCCAACCGCTGAGACCAAAGTAAACAGCCAGTGTCCAAGGCCAAAATATGAACCATTTGTCACCGCCGCCATCGCCGCACTCGCAGCCAAGTCCAGCGGGCTACGCGGGTCCATCGCTGGACAAGCAATGGATGCAGCGGGCCTCGGCCTTCAACACCGTGATAGCATCGGCAGCAGCCCACAAATTGAACAACAGAGGTGAGTCCATCGATCGCCGATCAAGCGACTAATGTTTAACCGCATGTTAAAAAATGGCGTAAAGAACTGATCTTCTATTTAACTAAAAGTTAACATATTTGGTAAAAGATTTAATGAAATCTCCAGAGCTCAGCTTTGATGTGCGTAGATCCTTTCAGATATGCTTTAACTAGAAGTTAACATATTAAACAAAAAGTTGGCAGTTTTGATGTGTAAAATAGATTCCAGATCCGCTTAAACTAAAAGTTAACATTTAAAATAATATTGGAACAGTTTTGATGTTGATTTTGCAGATATATTTTAACTGGCAGTTAAAACTGTTAACAATTTAGCAACAAGATCTTTGCAGATTTGCTTTAACTTGTTATTTAACTAGAAGTTACAATTTTAGAAAACAATTTATGCACAGGAAAAGGTTTAAAGATTTGCATTTGCAAAGTTTAGCTTTGATCATGGGCAACAAAATCTTCAAGCTCTAGCTTTCAAAATTTGTATCTCCTCCAAAATATCAAGAGTATTAATAGTTTTAATTTCTGCAATCTCATCCAAATTCCCATAAAAATGCAATCATAAAAGGGAAATTAAAGCACATGGAATATGATTTAATATCTGGAATAGGGCTACATTGGAATAATGTTCCTTCAACATGCTCCTTCAAAATTTCTTTCTTACTCATGCGATTATTTCGCCCGACTCTCCTGCAGAACTGCCCTTCCTCTACAATCCGCTGCTCTACTCCAGTGCTCTGCTCTGGCCACAGTTTCTGCTCTCTTCGGCCTCGGCGATGGGCACACCCCTAACACCCATGACGCCCAAATCGCCCGCCTCCATTGTGCTGAGCCAGCGCGATCGCGACTTTGCGCTAACGCCCGAAAAGGAGCAGGAGCTGCAGCACAACAGCAGCGGCAGCAGCAAGCACGTGCTGCTGCAGCAGGACGAGGATATGCCGCTGAATCTGAGCACCAAACAGCGTGCCAGATCCCACTCGGATCAGGATCACGATCACAACAGCAGCAGCAGCAGCAACAGTGGCAGCCTGAGCGGCGGCAGCCTCAGCGATGAGCCCGAGCAGCCGCTGCATCTGAACACGCTCACCAATGCCACGCCCCCGCCTTTGAGGGCTGTCAACCTGAAGACGGCAAACAGCGGCACGCCACAGCAGCGCCGCTCGCAGGGCAACATCATTTGGTCGCCAGCCTCCATGTGCGAGCGCTCCACGAGGCATGAGGCTGTGGCAGCAGCAGCAGCGGCAGTGGCAGCATCAGCGGAAGAATACGAGGAGCAGCAAGTGGATCCCATAGTGCGCAAGTTCAAGTACGAACGCCGCTCGGCTGCCTCCATATCCTCGCAGCAGTCGCCGCTGTCCTCGCTGGTGCCGCAGACCAATGTTGCGCAGGATCTGGACTTTGAGACCGCGCAGCAGCAGCTGTACGCGCATCGCAGCGCATTCATGGCCGGCCTAACTGGCAACAATCTGGAGCTGCTGACGCAGCACCTGAAGACGCAGCAGCAACAACAACAGCAGCATCAACAACAACAACAACAACAGCAGCAGCATCAGGTTAAGGCCGAAACCGAGGCCGAGCAGGACAACAACCGTTCGGCAGCCGCACTCATGGGTCTTGTGGCAGTCGCTGAATTAGGCTACATGCGTAATCAACACCAGCAACACACGACCCAGCAGCAGCAGCAGCAGCAACAGTTGCATCTACAGCAGCAGCAGCAGCAGCAACATCCTGATTCAACGGCCACAGATGTTGCGCGTCGTTCGTCCTCCTCATCATCGTATCATGGCGAGTGCGAGGAGAAGCGCAGCGGCAGAAATTTTCAGGTAAGCAGACGGGAAGTTCACGTTTTTTTCCTTCTTTTTTTTCTTATTGAGCAAAGTCGAATCAGAGTCAAAACTAGCGGAAGTGCAAAGACTGGGTAAAAGCAGCTTAAGAATGGGATTTGATAGGCTGTTTATATATAATATATAAAATTGCCTAAACAAAAATAATTTCTTAAATTCAGCAAAAAACCCAAAACCAATCTAAAGTAGAATCTTTAAGAAAATACTTTCGAAAATTGGGAAAACTTATAATTTGTTATAATTTCTTCGCTTTACCCTTTTTATGAAACTGGAAAGTTTCAAATCGAAAAAAAGAATACTTATATTTTCTTTTTTGCTAAAATGAAGGCACAAATTTTTCGATCATACTTTTATCTAATCAAAGTGTGTCTAGGCTATATTTTAAGAGGCGAAATCTGTAGGCTGTCAGAGCGGTGTCCTTGTCTCTAATGACACAATTACGTGACATCGGCTGTGTCTCAAGTACTCAATCCTTCAACTGAGCCCCACGGGGGAAAAACCTTATGGATTGCATAGGTCTAGAGCATATCTGGCATATCGCATTGCATTGCGTGTCTGTTGGCCGGCCCGTGTTAATTGTTTCATATTTTGAAGGTCCTGTCGCGTTTTAATTGCTCGGCGCTATCGATGGACAGACACATAGCGCCCGACCATTTCAATTTGGAAAAGTGGCACAGCAAGTAATGTAATAAAGAACTCTCTTCTATGGAAATTCAATTAGGCACAATCGAAATCACGCAATTAGTTAATCAAATAATTTTGATTATTTCTCGAAGCGGGCGGGCAGGTGGCGGTGCGCCTCACGAAGATTTATGTACAAATTACGCGTACAATTTTTGTTACCATAATCATAATTGTCGTTTTGTTTAAGGGCAGCCCTTTAAGCCATTTTTTGCCACATTAGGCACTCACGACGAGAACAGAGGGCACACGACCACGGACCAGGGACCACGGACTGACACATGAACTGGCAACAACAAGCCGAAGTCGGGGGCATGGTCATGCTCTGACTACCCCCGCTGTCAGTTAATGTTTTTATCAAAGGCACTTCAACACCCGCGAAAGGCATTCGTTCTCTCTCTCACTCTCTCATATTTTTTCACACATTTCACGAGAGGGTTTGCGGACTCGAGTGAAATGCGATAGCCATGAAGGGTTTCGATGCCGGGCGCAGACATATGGTCAAAACAGTTGCTCAAGTCCTGGGCGCAGGCGCAGCCGAAGACGGCAAATTTTTTTTTTGGTATGCGTTTTTTTTTGTTTGTTTGTAAGTCTTTACATCTGCTGCTGGAATATGGAAGCGCGGCCCACCCGGCTCGAGTGGAGTCTGAGCTTGGGCTGAGTCATGTGTTTGGGGTTTCTACGCGAGAGTTTTGCCAACTTCCGTTTCGGGTCGAGTTGAGCAAATTGACATTATGGCTCAGACCCGGCTGTAACAATGGGCCAACTAATTGGGGCTCGGTCTAGGCATGGATACCGCTCAAATGCAACGCACAAATAGAAAATCCCAAAGCAGAAAAAAAAACAATTTAAATAAAAAAAAAAGAAATTGTTTTTTCTTTTATGTTTTTTTTTTTTTTGTTTTTAAGCAGCGCACTTGTGTCAATTTACAGTATGCGTAGGTTTTCGAAAGGTTTTTCTCATTTTTTTTTTTAAATTCCATTTTTTTTTTATAAATGTCACACACGTAGCTCGGTCGGATCGCTAGGCCAGCCAGCCCAGTAGATGGGAATGGGATTGAGTTGTGTCAATACGGGAGCGACAATGTTTAGAGACTTGCATGTTGCAGCAGCACAAACTGTGCAAACATTTAATCTCCTCGCAGCGAAGATGTTACGAGCAGAGTCTGCCCAGTTTTCTGCTCTCCAATACCCAATCCCCCAGGCCAGCTGTGTTTGGCCTACAAATACAAGTAGATACATTCGGGCACATTCAGTTATAGCTTAATATCATTTAATATGGAGCGTTAAGTTCGCAGCGCGATAGAGACTTGCTTCTCTTGAGTTGTGCATATGGAGAAATGTTTTTCACTTGAGATTTAACATTGAGCTGGGCTGCTGTTTGCTTAGCTGTTTCTTAAAAATAAACGCCAAGTTAATATAAGTAGCTGCAAGATATGGGACTCTCTGGGCTGGCAGCCATATTTTCGCTCAGTCGGCTGGGTTTTATCCCGACTGTCGACAAATATTTGCACACTCACAAATCTAGTTTAATTCATAAGTATTTAGCACACACATTATTATGTTGTTTGAGATTTTATTTGTCGCAAAAATTTGTGGTCTTTGCCGCGTTTTCAGGCTGTTCAAACATGTCGTTATTTTCGATTATTTTGACTCGTTCTGTGCAAACATCAATATGTGTATGTATATAACATGTTCCAATTCGGATTCTTTTCTTACAGTGTAAACAGTGCGGCAAGTCGTTCAAGCGCTCCTCAACACTGTCCACACATCTGCTAATACACAGCGATACCCGGCCGTATCCCTGCCAGTATTGCGGCAAGCGATTCCATCAGAAGTCCGACATGAAGAAGCACACCTACATACATACGGGTAAGTTGAATGAGCTATTCATCTATCTCCCCCTCTATCTCCCCCCTCTCTCTCTCACTCTCTCTCTATCTCTTCCCTTCTCTCTCACTGACACAGGTTGATATTAGCATATTTGATAAGCAGGCTGGGTTTCGACTCAATTCAAATGAATGGGCACAGTTGTTGACCCCCATGAAATTGACTTTGGCGTGTGCTAAAGCCAGCTAGACAACAGAAGCTAGTCTCGACTATATTTTTTGATCTGTAAATGCCCTGATTATGTTATAGGAGATGGTTCAAGGATAAGTTTCCTTAACTGCACAATAAATTTGTACCCTGTACCCATAGAAAATGGGTTAAATGAGTATCATGACTTTGTGAAGATAACAGACAGAAGAAAGGATCTCCAATTTCAGATTCCTGCTTTGCACCATTTACTGAGTCGTTTGTCCCTATAAGACTATATTGATTATTCCATGAAATCGATAAGAATCGTTATCGATATACTGTATTTAGACTATATCAAGAAACTAGAGACACCAAATTAAGTCTGTAAGGAATACCTAAAATTCAGAATATTTCATTGTTTGAGTATTTCTCCCATTCAAATGAATATTTTAGGAGCTATAAACGTCATCTTTAGGGCATCTCGTAGTCGGGCACTCGCGACTTGCGCACACTTCTGAGTGTGAATAATGGCTGTTTGCTTTTAACGCATTTCGATTTGAAATGTCAAACATATTGTGGCAATGTGTCAAGCATAAACGACGTCAACAGCTCATTTTGCAGCTCTTTGCATGTCCGACCTCAAGTGATTTGAGCCACCCTCATTTGTAAGTCGCGGCCATTAAAATCAGCGAGCACTCCAGATGCTTATCGGCTTTCAATTTGTCTAATTGCTGACAATAGTAAGGCCACGTGCAATCGTACAATTAATAAACTTTAGTTTACATTATAATAATTGTTTTATTGATTTTATTTGCTCGCGTTGCAGGTGAGAAGCCGCACAAATGCACCGTCTGCTTGAAAGCCTTCAGCCAAAGCTCGAACCTGATCACGCACATGCGCAAGCACACGGGCTACAAGCCCTTCGGATGCGGACTCTGTGATCAGTCCTTCCAGCGCAAGGTGGACCTGCGCCGTCATCGGGAGAGTCGCCACGAGGAGGCAGCTGGCGCCCTGACGCCGCCGATCAAAATGGAGGTCAGCAGCAGCAGTTGCTAGAAGCGAGAGAGCGAGCGATCGATTGGATCGCCACATCTGTAGATATATATAGAACATGTCTGAGACACAAACCAGACCCAGTGGGGATTACCCGAAACCAGTAACAACCATCAAGTTGGCCCGCCTGCAAATGCAAAGTCGTCTAAGTCGTCGCTATGAAGCCAAAGTTTGTTTTGTTTGGGCATCCGAATACATTGTTATGGGAACCGAAAGAACATTTCTCCCATTTATTTTGCTCAATCCTAGACCTAAGCTCTGTACATACTGACAAAAAAAAAAAACATACACACACAAGACTTCTCTAATAGACCTAACTACTGTATGCTTAAGTAAATATTATTTAGAACTAAGCTAACATAATTTATTGCATAGAAAATGTTTTTTATCTTTTCAATTTGTTTTACCCTAAATACCAAATCCAAAATTGGCAAAGAAAACGCAGCTAAAAGTACCAAAGACTCCAAAAAAAAAAAAAAAAAAAAAAACAACAACAAGAAAACTTGGCAAAGCTTGACTTTAACTTAACTTATCGAAATTTTTTGTCTGTACTATTGTTTAATTTACGAAATATTTATTTTTATATAAATTATTTAAGCCTTATTGAAAATGTCCTCGATATGGATTAGCCTTAGATCCTAAGTTTTTATTAACATTTTGTATTATTTATAAAATCATTTCATTGTATTTAGTTATGTTTAATTGTATTCATTTTAGCAAAAATAAAGTTGAAAGCTAAAGAAACTTCAATTCGTATAAAACAGCTGTCGCAGAGCTTAAGGCTATCGAATTTGAGCCAACAAACTGTCAAGATTTTTGATATAAAACCAAATTGATTTACTGAGATTTTCTTAGTTATTTATTTGTAGCTTTAGTAGAAATTCCAAGTCTTAGTTCAAGACTTTTGGACTCAAGCATTCAAGTATTTTCTTCAGCTATTGTTCACTCGAATATTTGAATAATTTGAGATTAAATTGCAATTTTTAATGCCATCAAATTTGCTTCTCAATTTTGAGAATTTTATTTACAATTCTTAAAATTGTTCACAAATCAAAATCGTTTTGCTTTATGCAACTGAATGGATAACTTTTTTGAGTAAAATATCTCACATTTCTAAACACGCTTGAATTTCGAGTTTTTGATATTCACTTAAAACAGATCTTTACAAAAATTATTATATATTTGTATATTTGGCATATATAAAACTAAAATAAGTAGCTCTTTAGCTGATATTATCGAAATTCTAAATGAAATTCTTTGAATTTTCTTTAGCCAATGCCCTTGAAGTTAAATGTCCTTAAGAGAGTAACTTATTTACCAATACCTCAGCTAAGCCTAAGTCCATATATTAGTTTTAAGTACCCGTAGATCAAGGACGTTGAGGTGGCAGCCGTTTTGGCAGCCGAATTAATGTGGCAACATTTTGTTACAAATTGTGAAAAACACTCCAAATATCTTCTTTTTTTTGTGGAGTAGCCCGAAAACCTGATTTTATAGTTAAATTTTTGCACGTACTCAATTGCAGGCAACCGAGGCTCCTGGCAACTGGGACTTGGTCCGGGGACAGCTCCTGTTTCGGGTGCCGCGGTGATCTTTGATCTTCGCTCATTGCGGTATGCTAGGAATGCGCTTTGTAAAACGCCGCGTTACAAGCAGCGTTTCCCATTCCGGCGTGCAAAAGAAAAGGGAGGGGCACGGGTGGCCAGGCCAGCTACCGGGCACGGCAAAACGCCAATAAGTGTTCGAAGTTCCAGCTAATTGCGCCCGAGAGTGAAGTTCAGTTCAGTTGTGTTGAGTTGAGTGGGCAAGACAGGCAAGTCAGCGGGGAAACAGATCGGGAGCGATCATCGACAGTCGATTGCTGATCGCAATTTCGGCCAAAACCGAATGTCAATGCGTTTTGCGGCACTTTAAAACGCCCGAAATGATGTTTGGCAGTTTACAAATCACCGACTCTGGGCCGCGCTCATTATCGCCATTCATCGTTGGCTGCAATCAAAATCAGCGAGCATTTGGCAAGGATTTCACTTTGGGACTCTCCGCCTCTCCGCCTCAACCGCTTTGCCACTTGTGCCCGTGGCATGCAACAAATTGATCGAAAATTGACAAAATATTGGGCACAAAAAAAAAAAAGACCAGAAGAAGCGCGATCAAAAATATGCAGTTCAATTGCATTGGCGGCTGCAAAACAATTCAGCTCAAGGACCTTGGCCAAGTGCCGACAAAGCGATAAATTGCAGAGCTCTTGGGTTAAGCTACACGACTCTATGTGGCAGCCGCCAAGTATTTCATAATGTAACTCAAGATATGTCCGGCAAACTGAGCTGCCCGCGAATTAGAATTCAATGATATTGAAATTCATATTATGGAGTACAAATTTCTGAGCAAATGCTTCCAAAGAAAATTGATTTTTAATATAAAATGTTGCTCTATGCAAGTTTTATAAATTAGAAATTATCTAAAAACTTTCTTCATTTTATTTAACTTTTTTTTAGTGTTAAGAGAAATGTTTAAGAATTTTTAACATTACTTTGCAAGCCTGAACTTTTATATTCATTTTTAAAAACATTCTTAGTTTAATTTAAGTCAGAAAATATTTTAGAATTCGATTTATCTTTGGATTCAGTTCGGTATTTCATTCTTCTATATAAATTGATAATCAAACGAGTTATATTATGTTTAAGAAAAAAACCCTTGAAGGAGCGTTGTCTACACAGGGTAGAGCTGGTCGGACTGTGTCTGCCATATGGTGGCTTTAGGTTTATTAACCCCTAAGCCGTTAACACCTGAGCCCACATAATTTGTCATGCCATTTGAATTTGTACAGCATTCAAATACAAATAGACGGCAAGCCCCCATAAAAAAAAAAACTAAAACTAAATGAAAGAAAATACGACAGTTGAACAAAAGCTGCGCTCAGCTGCAACCCCAAATTGAATAGGAAGAGGAGTGCGAGCACGTTTCAAAGGAATTTGAAGAGGAAATCATCTTAGAAGAAGTGCCTTGAAGTGGCCTAGACGGAGCTGGGCCCGCAACATATCCGTTTTCCGGCTACCCCTAGCCAAAAGGTGCCGGGCAGGTGACTTTGACTTTGGCTATTAATAAAAATAATAGTTGCGGCTAAAGCGGCTGAAGCGGTCGAGCGAGGATCTGCGTACGTGGAGGCCATCACATGAAAAAAAGATGTCTTAGGTCAGTTGCCGTCGAGGGCTGCAAATGTGACGTCGACTGCGACTGCGACTGCGACTGAGACTGCGACGAGGCTGCGACGAGGCTGCTGCAGGTGAAGCTAAGCGAGGGCACAATTAAAAGGCCGACGAGGGATGTGGCAAAAGGCACCTGTGCGCAGGAGCCGGGAAAGGCAAAGGCAATGTTACAGCGGCTCATTTATGTTTATGTCCTTTCGTTGTAAGCAGGCGCTGATTCCGATTCCATTTTGAGCCGCACAAGTGGCGCGCCAGCACCTGCTGAATCCTGGAACCTGTCGTCGTTGTCCTGGCTCAATAATTGTGCGCCAGACGACGCGTGCTCAAAGCCGGTTTACAGCAAACATATGCCAGCCAGCCTTTCAGCTCGGCCAAATTACAACAGCAGCGCCTGTTGTATCCAACCGATACCGGTCCAATTGGCATGGGCCACACGCCACCAACTGAACAGCAGTCATAAAAATCTCTCAGTCGACCACAAAACGGCCAAGATCGAGATCGAGATCGAGATCGACATCGAGTTCGGGCCGCAATCGTTGTCTAATCTAGGCCCAAGCACCTTGAGGGAGTGTGCCGCAAGCTGACGCATGCAAAAAATAAACAAAAATATATAACCAAAAACCAAAAGAAGGTGCATCCAACAAAAAGCCAACAACAACAACAACAACAACAGCAATTGCTGCAAGTGCGCCTGCACCTGTCACGCTCATCGATATTACAAGCGGCGGCGGCGGCGGCTACGGCCAAGCCAAATGACCCAATTTTCATGGGCCCTACAGGCATGTAGCCTGGACCTGAACCAGAGCCCAAGCCAGAGCCCAAGCCAGAGCCAGAGCCAGAGCCTGAGCCTGCTCTCATTTCTTTGTGAGCCTTCCTTTTTTAATGTGTTTTTCCTCGCTTGAAATGGATAAGTTATGATTGCTGCACTTTTCCCTCAATAGACATTGTCACCTGCAGCATGAGTTGGGCATTTGGAATTTATATAGGATTGATTGTTAGAGATTGACATGGAGAGTGCGCAATCTGGCAGGTATGTGTGTGTGTGTTTGTGTGGGGGTTGCAGATGCTGTATTAAGAAGTAATATTTGTTTAACACTAAGGTTGATTGGTTTCGAATCTTAGTCAGATTATATTATTATTTCATTTATTATTATTTCCTTTATTATTATTATTATTTCATTAAAGATATTATATTATTATCATTTATTTTTTATTATATATATTTTTGTAATACTTTTATCAGAAAGATTTTTTATTATTATTATTAATTTTTTTTTTTTACAATTGCAATTTTATTAAGAACAATATTTTATTATTTTTATTATAATTATCATTATCATTATCATTAATATTTTATTTTATTCTTAATTTTTTTTATTTATTATTATTAATTTTAAAAATTATTTATCTACCTAATAACAATAATAAGGATAAGGATAAGGTTCAGGAAAATACTTGTGGCTCTATTTCTGGACATTTAGTTCGGATTATCATTGCTCTGATAATTGATTTAGCAGTAATAATTGATTGCGTGGATTGACCTTAATAGTGATATATCCAACAGTCGTATACATTAAATAAGTCATCCATTAAACAAGGAGAATGCGGGTTCGAGTCCCACGATTCCATTTAAGAATATACTATTAACTAAAGGTTTTCCATGTCAGCGCATAGTAATAATTCTATACCTATAATAGTAATAAATTCTCAATAGATATCTGGCTGATCTTAAGTACAGCTTCTGGTCTTTGCATTAAAGTACCTTGAGGGAAATGCAATAGGAAACAGTTAAGCTAGTTCGCCCGACCAAATCAGAAGCCAAGAGAATGCCAGTCAGAGATTAGCCTTACCTTACTTTGGAAAATCTTAAGCTCGTTCGATTTGAATGCGAACATTGACAAAGGGAAAGCAATGACAAATCCAAGTCAGATATGCAACAACCCCTGCTATAGAGGTGGGTATTGGAAGGCGGTTGGGAGGGCAGCACGAGTCAAGTGGTAGGGAGGGCGCATACAAGACAAAGCAGTTTGTGAAATCTATTTAAACAGCTT